AAATTTCCAATGATGAATGTCATTATATTGTATACCTAAAATGTACCAATGATTAGAATGAATAATCAATAATGTAAAATAGGAAGAAAAAGTCCAAAGGGGTAGGGGTAGTGGGGTAGTGGGAGGGGCAGGGGAAAGGAAAGAAGGGAAAGGACAAATGCTGATAAATGGAAAAAATGGAAATAAAATCTTTGTAAATAGGGAAGGGTGGAGGGTGTGAAGGGAGAGCTAGGAATGGGGAAAAAATAGGAACCAAGATCCATTATGTAAAGGTACAATTCCCAATGATAAATGTAATTGTGTTGTATACCTACAATGTACCAATAAAATAATTTAATACAAAAAAAAAGAGAAAGGTACAAAGGTGAAATTGTGTGAAAGTTTTGCAGAAAACAATGAGCACAAGGTGGTGATTCTCAGAATTATCTCTATATTCAGAGATACTTAACTTGGAAAGGCAACATTAGAAGCAGGATTTATTTCAAAGTTTTCTGAACAAAACATCATACATAGAGCCGTTATTATTTCGCCTGGCCAATATTCTAGGGAATTTTTGTTAATTTACATACTGAGTTTTCGGTCTTCTTTCCTACTGTGATGATACTGGCACTGGTCTGCCCAGGCTTGGGCCTTCTCTGAAGCTGCACTGCTCCATTCCTAAGAGAGTGTGTGTGTGGGAAATATGTGCACTCAATGGTTCAAAGATCAGATACATAAATATGTAGCCAGATTAATAGATTTCTTTACATCACTATAATATTTTTGCAAAGGAAATTTACATATTCCATGGTTTCTCTTATACAAGAGCCCCAAATTATATAATTTAAACAGCCATAAAAGATAGGTAATAGGAAACTTAGAAGATAGGAAACTGTGGAGATGAGAAGGGTAAGACTGGAGGGAGGGGATGGGAATAAGTAAAAAGGACTAAGATTCAATACCAAATCTCCACTGTGATTGTGTTCATTATGTATCACAAACATGTATTAATAAGCAAATCTAATAAACTTTCTGTAAAAGTACTTTCTAATTTTTAAAATCAAAAGCATAGACATATATTCTTAATATGCCCCTTTGTATGCCAAATAAGTACAGATACTATGTCTACCCTAAGTAACTGAAAAACTGAAGATCAATATGGCCCAATCATTATACTAGCACAGAAGGTACATCTAAGAATTTGTAGTAATTGTCCTACTCTAAACATTACTATTATCAGCTCACACCCTCATCCAGTAAATTTGGGAGGCCTGTGGGGATTGGAGCTGGAACTAGAAAAATGCACTGCTGTTTACACAAAACAGCACTGACCTACAGGGACAGCCTTTCTGGTCTTAGATTAGGAGATCCAGCATGGTGAGCATAAAAACACAATGGCCTTTTACTGGATGCCTTAGGACATCCTAGTTCTATCAGCATAATTTAAACAGTCTCATAAACTTGACAAGTTATTTTAGTGTAATCAAGAAATTTGGCCCTGACCATAAAACAAATGAAATGCCAAAATCAATGCAGAGCTTCTTAGGCAAAAGTTGAGAGATGTCAGTGGCCAGCTGCCTGCTCTTAGCACACCTCAAGATAACTTAAGCTGCCTTTCCTACATTCTGACCTCTTACCATCTTTAGCATATCACTGGCAGTTGGAGACACTGCTCTCCTTAGTTCATTGTGTTTGTTTACAATCTCCTCTTGGACTTCTGGTAGACTAGTTGACAAAGCAGCAAAGGCTTCATTCTAAAGAGAAATAAAATCAGATTTATTTTTAGCCTATTTGCAAATTACATAGAAGGCTTAATATGTCTTGACCATACAGGAAAACAAAGATCATATTTTTAAGTGTTCAGTTCAAGCCAATATTAGCTGTTCAGCACTGCCAATGATTCTAAGGCAAAGACACAACTTTTAAATGGAAAAGTAGTAGACTAATGCTTCAAGAATGGGAATGTAATCCATGACAGGACACATTGAAACTCCTCTGAGAGCACACATGCTGATTTTGGTTTTAAGAGAAGTCTTCCTGTGATTTTTCTAGATATATGAGAAATAACATCTTATGATGACAAAGGTATATGAGAAGAATCATTAAGACAGTCACACTCAGGCTGCAACAAGGGAGTATTAGGGTGTGGGTACATAATTTACTGCAGACTTGAGTGATATCATTCTTTTGACAAGTTGTCTCATATCTACAGAAAGAATGCTCAGCCCAAGTGAATGTCTATGGTAAAAAAAGTGTTATATATTATGTACATAATGTTATGGAATTATTCAAAGAATGGTTATGCCATTTAGAAAAAAATTCTAAATGCAATTTGAAGGAGAAAATTCATTCAATTAATGGACTATTGCTGGTTTTATCTTTATATTAAGACAAAACTGACTAATGAGGTTTTAATTAAGATGGTAATACTTGAGCTTGTAGTTTTGTACATGTGTAGGTCTGGAGATTGGAGTGGAGTTATGTGAGTTGTTGGCACAAGAGATAAGAACAATTTGATGAACTAAATTTACATTAAAAATGTCCTGTTTTATAGGGAAGAGGACAGTTTTAAAGTATACACTGGCAAGACCCTTACAGAATTCATTTTAGATCTTGGATAATTTATCCACACCTTCCACCATACTGAATCTCCCCAAGATTTCAAACACTGTACTCATACATCTGACCACATTGTGTTGCTTATCTAGTATATGTCCATCTCTTCTTCCTGCTTTTATGTTCCTAGGGACAAGGACCATTGGTGAATATCTGGTACCAAGAGACCCAGCAAAGCAACTGACTGCTAAGTTAGAAAGGATATTATATATTCAGTGTCAGTAGTGACTAACCTCTGCATTTTACCCAAGCCATAAAAAAATATATAGATATTCCCTGTTTACCTCACAAACCCACTTAAAATAGATTTTTTTTTCAAAGCACAGACAAATTGGCTTTTGAGAGAGAAGTAATTATTCTCTGCATCTTACATCTTGGTTTGTAGATAAAACTTCCTGAAGAAGTATATTTGGTTCATTTTAAAATGAATATCAATAAAGGTTTTATTACAGGTTATGAAATATTAAAAATATTGAGAATAAAATTTAAAAAATATAGTATTTTAAAGAATTTATACTGGATAGATAACGTGACAAATAATCACGATACTACATCCCAAAACTGAAGGGATACTACATAATATAAAATGAGGGATCAATTTAAAATGTTCAAAGTCAACAAAGGCCAAATATGATTATGGATCTCCCTGGTATTCAGCTTTGAATAAATTTATCAATAAAACAAGGAGACCGACCAGAAAAGTAAGAGATGAAAATAGAGTACCATAATATGCAATCCATAAAAAAGCAATTGAGAAGAAAGCAAATTATCCAAATGAAATCCTAAGTGAAGAATAAATTGTCTCCAGGTTGATAATATGATTGTGGTAACACAGTCACTATTTTTCTGTGACAGATGAAATTCTCTTTTTTTTTGTACAGGGGATTGAACTTGGGACCTTGTGCTTGTGAGGCAGGTGGCAGAACCACTGAGCTAAATCCCCAACCCATGGCAAGGGAAATTTCAACCAAGTGTTGGAGTTCTCCAGTGTAAGGTAGCCTAGCTAGTGTATGTGCGAAGCTGAAGCAGGGCATGATAACCAGGAGTAATGCCCTAAGTTTCTGACATTCAGTAGCCCTCTGGACAGATGATGATCACCTTCCTTGGGCACTGCACCCTACCATTAAAGAGGATGATTTACTCTATTTCTGTTTCCCTGTTGGAGGAAAACTACATATTAGAAATAAATGGAGTACAAAGGGATATCTACTTAGTAATTTTAGTAAATTTTAAGCATAAAAACATGTAACTGTTCTCACACAATATCTGTAAAAATAAGATTTAGATGTATGTAAAGAAGTCATACTAATTTGACATTGATATTGGTAATTTTCTGTGGGGATCATGTTTAAAGATTAAATAAAACTAATCAAAACAGCTCTTGGGGCAGGAGGAGTGTTATTAGCTTTAAATCCATACACTTATTCTAGCTATTGAATTAAATTTTATTTTGCCACTTTAAAATTGAAAAAAAGATGAGATTAATAATATATATTAGTTAACAAATACATCCAAAATACTATTTCATTATCATCAATATTCAAATTATTGTGAGATATTTTACTTCCTTTTTTTAGACTATCTTTGAAAGTTTTTGTGTATTTTAAATATATGCCCACCTTTATTCAGACAACCATACATCCAGTGGTCAATATTCTCACATGATGAAGGCCTACCCTGCTGGTCGACACAGCTGTGGACTTGTGTCAGAGCTACCAGTGAGTACTTTGTAATGCACCAGACACTCCAACCCTTTTCACTTTTGAAGACTGATCTAGTATCTTGCTCTCTCTCTCATGGTTTCCTGAGTTGTTTGAAAAGATTTTCAACCTTAACCTCACCTCATCCCCTTTTACAGGGAAAGATGAAAGCAGCATAGCAACCGGGAACAGGATCACTGAGAATAATGCCATTGCTGGGAAAATAAAACAGAGGGAACAAAGACTTGCATTAAAATATTTAGTACATAGAGGTGGAGGCATAAGGAGCGCCATTATCCAAGTTTATTAGTAATGAGAAGAATGGCCAAGGGAACAGCATAATGATGGTGGGCTGGGCTTCAGAAGGACCCTCCTTAGGGGCAATAAAAACAAATGGAGGTATTTAGGAGAAGCTTTGAAGCACACCTACTGCTGACAGGACCTGATGCCTTTTCCTCCCAGTGCCACACTCTGATTGTGCACTTTGGGTACTAGGACTGGCTTTTCTCTTTTAATTCTTTTATTTTCTTTTTTTGGTACCAGGGATTGAACTCCGATCCTTACACTTGCGAGGCAGGTGGCAGAACCACTGAGCTAAATCCCTGGTGGGACTGGCTTTTCTCCTTGCCCATTCAGCAATAAGAACTCTGTTACGGTTTACATCTAGATGCCTCGCACAGCCTCACGCACTTGTATGCAGAGCTTTGAATGATGATTAGATTATGGAAGTATCATAGCTGACTCCCATTTAGAAGAGGGGTCTGGTGAGAGAGAGAGATCTCTGAGGGTGTGGCCCAGAAGGTTTATGTCCCTCCTTGGGTCTTCTCTTTGTTCTCTGCTTCCTGTCATGCCCCTGTGCCATACCACCATGTTTTGAAGCCAGGGCACTGTGAACTGCAATATTTGCCCTAATAAACCTCTTCTCCCTTAAGTGTGGGTGTCAGGCTGTTTGTCTCAGCAAAGAGAAGGTGACTAAGACAAGCTCTCAAACACTGCCTTCCAAGCACTGGTGTGATTAGCCCTTACTGCTACTTAAACCTTGTGTACATCATTTTAAATCACCATTTATTCAAATCAGAAGTTAGAAAATGAAATTTGCTATTATTTATTTTCAGCCTTATCCCTCCCTACCTTTCCAGCTCCTTCTAACATTTAGTCCTGTTTCCATTTTCAAGAGCTTTATTTTCATCATCATTTTTTCTTTCAATTCTTTTCTTAATCCCCTTTCCATTCCTTCCCTCCTTTCATCTCTTATTCCCCCATCCATTTGAAAAAGATTTCTACTTCCTATTTATCTCTTATTTTGTACCCTGTGTGTGTGTGTGTGTATATATATATATTTATATAATATATATACATATTTAAACATAAATACATGTACATAGTTTCTTATATAAGAGAAACCATGTGATATTTAAGTTAGTATAGTACAAAGATGTATCAATAAAAATAAGTTTTTAAAATGACGTTTATTTTATGTAAGGGCTGTGCTTCAATACAGCACCCTAAAATCTTTTTCTAAAAAAGAATCTTCTCTTTCATACTTTTGAACCAGTCTGCTAAACTTTGCCCAGTGTAGTGTGCATTCTGACCCATTCTCTGTCTAGTCCTTACTGTAATACCATACCTCCAATACCCAAACAAAACAAACAAAAAAAATACAGGTAACCATTTTGTATGTATTTGGAGATGAAGCCTGTGAGAAAGAACTTGAGGTTCAGTCGAATCATAAGGAAAGGATGCTGATTTAGTAAAATTTGTGTCCTTATAAAGACACCATTATGTGCTCCCCCCTAAACACACACACACACACACCACACACACAAACACAAGGCAGAGACCATGTGAGAACACAGTGTGGAGGTGGAAATCTGCAAGCCAGGAAGAAAGCCTTCACCAGTAAATATCCAGGGCATCTTGATCTTGACCATCTAGCTTTTGAAACTGTGAGAAAATAAATTTTTCTTGTTTGAGCCATGCAGTCAATCATATGTTGTTATGTTGACTGGCAAAACTAATACACATTCTTCTCTTTAGTACTTGAAGCCCAGGTTATTTCTGAGTGCATTCCAAGGTCTGGGAGCCTTGTCAGGTTGAATCCTGGAGCAGCAGGTCTGCGTTCAGGCAGGTGGGTCAGAGTCAGGCACCATGAGAGCTGGTGCTGTTTGGATTGTCCAGTGCCCAGGCTCAGGGCAGCTGTGCTTTTCCCCTTTGCTATGTGACAACACCAGAGAGAGAGAGAGAGAGAGAGGGAGAGAAAGAGAGAGAGAGGAACCTTGCTGTGTTTAAGAGAGCCTCAGACAGTGTTTCACTGCAAAGTGACAGTGATTTCTCTGGAGTGTAAGTTGGCTGGGAATGGAGACATTTTGATTCTCCTAGAGAAGAGTCCTAGAAAGAGGACCTCATCCCATCCTCTCATGAAACTAATGATCAAACAAAAAGCCAGGCAAAGCATGAAAGAGACTAAGAAGAAATCCAAGAGAAATAGTTTATCTTCATGTAGAAAGACATTCTTTTCAGTAATTTCAATGTCAACATTGGAGTCACAGTGAATCATAAGGAAGAAAATGTTATAAAATAGGTTAACACTTGGAATTGCTCCTGACTTTACTAAACCAATTATTTCACTATTTTCTATTTTTGCAATCTAATGAAAAACATAGTTTAGGCTTTGTGGTGTCTATGTCAAAGATAGTATTTTTAACCTTCTCTTTTAAGACAAAGGTATTATTCATCGTTCTGTTAACTTCATTACTAGATAGTGGACTATTGGGAATAGACTCCAATTTTTCTTTAGCCTCACTGCTTACAACTTGGTAACTATTTAATTATGTTTTTGGTTATGTCATTCCTTAGACTGGATAATAGTTACATCCTTCAACATTTCTAATTTCCTCTCTAAAAGAAAACTTATGGGCTAACTCCAAAAATAGTGATCTTCTCCCCAGAGAGAAACATTTAATACTTACACAGTCAACTTTTCATGCTATTAAATTTTTTTATACTGACATACGGTACCTATTTCTCTCAATTCATTCATGTACATTTGGCTTTTTTCATAATTTTCCTCTGAACTTGGGAAAGGCTATATATACTTCCATCTTCACAACTCCTAAATGCCTCATGCCTAAGGATTGTTCATTCTGTACTTGTCTAATGGTCAACCTGCAGAGATTGTTTTGTATCTCTCTAGAAGACCCACTCTTGTCTTATCCTTGTTCCCTTGGACAGGACAATCTCCTGGCATTGACTTACAGTGGGCCTCCTACACAATTTGAGAGCAAAAGAGAAAAACAAATCTTCCTTTTGTTTTCAAGTCAGAGACAATTAAGTATCATTGTTGCCTTTTGCTGATGTTGTAACATAAAAAAATGGACTAATGGAGATGATTAGAAAATGTAAGTGACAGACCAAACAAGGTAACATTAAAAAGCACTGAATGAAGAAAAGATTATCTAGCCTATGGTGTTCGGAAAACAGGTTCACTATACAGAAAAAAAAAATCTTATCTTTTTATGCCTTTTCTTTAAAAGTAATCATATATGTATTAAATTTGTAAATAAAAACATTATATGCAAATTTGTAGGGCAGTATCCCTCTGCCCTAGTTTACCTACACATCATAATGATATATATAGTGATTTTGTTTTGTGCCAGGCACTGTGTCACTCTTTATGGGCTTATTTAAACCTCACAGAAAGCCATATGGTAGATGCTGTTACTCAGTACCACTGTTTACCAGTGGCAATTCTAGTGTTACAGGACACTTCAGTTCAAAAAAGTTTCATCTGTTTCCTGCTGATCGAATGACAGGAAACCATATATGTATTTGGATTATAAGCCAAAAGAATTTAGTCAAAGCTAGCTCTAAGGAGGTAGAGGTGGAGGGGTGTATTTCCCTTCAATGGCCATCTCACCATGTACTGGTGTGTTAGGGGTTGGTACGTACTGGCAACATGCCAGCCAGAACAAACAAACAGGTAGTCCAGGAGAATGGAAGACTCATCCAGAAATTTTGGAGGCAAAATGTACAGTTTTATTTTTAGGGCCAGCAGGTCAGAGACTTCTCCACAAAGAGACTTACCCCCCCTTTGGTGTTGAGTAGGGCAGGTTATATTCTCAGGAGAGAGGCAGGCTTGAAGGAGTTGAGCATTTTGGATTGGTTACATACAGCACAAGTCATCTGGGCCCAGCAACTTCACTGGTTATCAGATATTGTAGACAGCAAGCTCAGTGCACAGAGCCACATCCCATTTACACATGGAAGGGAGATAGAAGTAATAAAACTGATAACAAAGAAAATTCCTGAGATGCTTGAGAGGAAGTGTCTGGAGCCCAGAGACAAGGGAATGGGGAAAACTTTTCCACTAGTAAGTTTGGCTTTAACTGCAAAGAAACATGTTCCCCATTCATTCCCTCCTCTTTTTGATGCTAGTTAATTCCTTAACTATCAGAGGTATTTACCTCTGATATGCATAATGCTGCCTGGTGTATGTGTAAGCATCTGATTTTGAGATCATCATGAGCTGTTAGGATTTTTGAATTTTCATGGAATTAACATGTTGGGAGACAAAATGTATGAACCAGTTTATGAAACATGGGCCAATGGTGAACACAATGAGGATACCAAAAAGAAGTCTTACTAAGGCACCTACCTATCTTCATTTTCCAGTCACCTAGGATGTTTACCAATTGTTAGGATTTTCTGAGTCAATCAAACAAGATAGGACAGCAAACAGCATAGAACCCCAACATATAGCTAAGAGGAAACACCTTTGGAAAGTAGTTCAGTCCTCTGGAGTGTAAGACTGAGGGCCCAGTGGTGCCTTCAGAATGTAAGACTGAGAGCCTTACCAAATGCTCTGAGGAGCTGACTAGTGAAGCACACCCAGGAATCCCAATGGTGCCTTCAGAATGTAAGACCAAGAGCCTTACCAAATGCTCCAAGGAGCTGACTACAGCAAAGAACACCTGGGAAGGAACACACTAGACAAGTTGGGAAACAGACCTTTATTAGTCTGGCCAGATGGCACTCCTGAAGCAAAATAGCTTAGAGAGGCAGCTGGCTCAGAATCCGAGGCTGTTTTTATAGGGGGTTGAGGGGGAAGTTAACATATTAAAGAAAAGGGGACAAAGGTTAGTGGTCGACTGTCACATATTGATGGTTAGCAGACATCTGTAGCTTGTTCTAACAATTGTGGTGCCTGGAATATCAG